GAAAATTTGACGTCTGGAGAATCTGAGGCAACTTAATTTGGGCGATGGAGAAAATTATGATCTCGCCACACGCTTTGGAGTTAGGAGTTAAAGAGAAACTCCTAACTGTTCCAATTTAACCAGTTTTCGACCTAATTAGGATGATAAGCGGAACTAGTAACATTGGTGAAGTGGTGTACATTCCCTGAAGAAAGGAGATCAGCAAATATGGTTATGAGGGAGAATCCCTGTTTGACCAAAATTTTCCATAAAAATAAGTTGTGAAAAAACATTACATGCGAACAAAGGCATTGAGGACAGCCGAATGAGATGTCTTGAGACTCACAATGAAGTGAAGACGAGCAAAACCATGTGGTGACTGGGAAGAAGAGTTCTGTGGAAGGTGAGCATGTCCGCAGGAAAATGCCGAAGATCGCGTATTTCTAGGTTCCAGGAGATGAGCATCACACTCAGATTCCAGCCGTTCCAGTCGAATCTGCACAAGGTTAACGCCAGCTAGTAGTAGCTCCAATATTGAGAGCAGCAACTTCACTCGAGAGCTAGCAATTTTACAATATGAAGCGGGTGCTGCTGACAAGTAATCCCCTACTTTCCAGACACTGTGCTAAGTGGAGCCCCACGGAAACCACAAGGAAATGAAAGAGGAAGAAAATGAAATCCAACCTTAAGTGCATGATTCTGAGCCAGGGTGGCCTCCAATGAGTCCTGTTTGGTGAGTAGACTGTCGTTGAGTTGTCGAACCCGTGCCTCTAGTTCAAGAACGCGCGCCTCTACATCAGTACGCAATTGAGGCTGCTCTGAGGGTGATGGTGGAGAAGTAGGAGAGCGTGCAATGTCGGGGGAGGACTTAGACGAGAGACACTGACGGAGACGCGCCAGTTCCGCTTCGGTGGACTGCAATTGGGAGGCCGATGCAGCTGATTCGCGTTTCGCAGCCTCCTCAACTGCAGATAGGCGGCGCTGCAACTCAATTATCTGTGCGTTGGAGTCCGCTACTAGCTAAATGAACATGGTGTTACACCTTATCGTTAGACGCAAAACGAGAACGGCGGTGTTGGTAACACCTACTTGCTTTTCTAATTGAAGCTGTTGGTTCAATAAGTTGATTGTGCGTCGCAGTGAGGCGTGCTCCTCAGAGGCCCTTTCTTCCATCTCAGAGGCTACCATAAGCCGCTGTTCGGCATCTTTTCGCAAGGAAATCGTCTCCTCGCGCAGCTGTTCGTACTCTCTCCGCAAATTTTCGTCAACACCTTCTGAAGACGACACTTTACCACCACCGTCACTCGCATTCAGTTGATCACGAAGATCTGAGATAACCTTGAGTTGCAGTAAACAAAACCCAATGTGATTATTTCCATAATGAGAGGACATCAAGTGTATCTAGTTTACTGCCATGTCTTTAGACGGACGGTTCCATTAATTACGCAGACGTCACGTCTATCACCTAGAGTTTACGCATACCTGGCACAATTTAGCCCGTAAAATCTAGTCTT